TCCCTCACAACCCAACAGCACCAAGCAGCCCTGACTCACCCAGCAGGCAAAGTTCCCCCTGTCTTGCCCGCTCCATCTGTCTCTGTGGTTCCCGCGTCGTCCAGTTCTGACCACACAGGGGGGGAGACGGGAGAGAATGTCAGCCGGGTTACAACAATCATAATAAGAATATACACCAACAGTCATTGTCAGGATCATTGATTCATTATTTGTGTCGTGTGACATGCGGGTGAAATCAGGTGCTCATCAAAATAATAAAATTCACGTAACCAACAAATATACAAAGACACGCACATGGTCTACTTTCTTGGGAAAGAAAATCTGGAATCTTTCTCGTACTTACAAAAAAAATATGAGAAAAAAACAACTTTTGAAGGGATCTTTAAAGAAAGAAAAAAAAACAACCGAAAAAACCCACATGACACTCAAGAAAAAACAGCAGAAGAAAAAAAGAAGTGACGAAAGAGGCTTCAGACGGGCAACCTCTCTCACAGTTAAGAGACATTAACACTTTGCAGTCACACAGCCAGCAGCAGTACAAAATACCACACCTGTCACTCAGCCAGGAGAGTGACTGCAACGGACTTCTCGGGCCAGGTGCACACAGAACTGCGCCAGGTGACCAGAACGGATAATTTTCACCGTCGTACTTTTGTCGGCGCATTTTGCGCCAAGTGACAGCAAAGTGTTTAACTATTCAATACCACAGAACTGTAGCCAAAGGGATTCCGTCTGATAAGATCATTCTTCCAGTTATCCCAGTACACTCACGCTAAAGGATCTCACAGCTAGACAAAGGGAGCGTAGAACTTACGCTTAACCCTATCCGTACGACCTGGGGTCATTTTGTACCCCCGGGGCTGTATTCTTCACAATTTAGAATGCTTCTAGAACGAAGATCTCTTTGAAACTCAGTATTTCTCAAAAAATCATTTCGACAGACTGCTATGCAAAGCGTACAGATCAGATTAACAAGTAAATTTCCTCTTTGGGAAGTGGTGGCACAGAGTTCCCAACGTATGGATACGATGGTAAAACATGACGTACGGATAGGGTTTAATACTACAGAACTTTAGCCAAAGTGATCTCGCCTGATAGGATTATTCTTCTGGTTATCCCAGTACACTCACGCTAAAGGACCTCACAGCTAGACATAGGGAGCGTAGAACTTATGTTTAAAATTGTATAGCGCAAATCCCCGCTCAACAGCAAGCTCTATGCACTTCACAACCTATACTATTACCCCTGCAGACCTGAGAGCATTCTGAAATAACCTCAACTTCCTGGGAAGCATACAGTGCAAGAAGCCATTAATTATAGGCACTAAAATACTAACATACTGACAAGATCTTTCGCTGTCTATGGCCGGGTACCTATTCCCACCTAGGAGAAGTGAGGAAAATCTGTGTAAAGTGCCTTTCCCAAGGACACAACGTCCGGTCCACGGCTCGAACCCCCGAACACGCAAGCTCACGATTACGAGTCCGGTAGCCTAACCACTAGCCTATCAACTTACAATATCCAAAAGTTTTCTATCAAAAGTTTTCTATCTATGTAGGCCTATCAACTTGCAATACTCAAAAGTGTTAAACCTACTTATGAGAACTAAAATGCACAAACGCTTTAGATGGTTGCATGAGGCTCACAAAACTCAGAAGCGTGAGATCTACGTATTGTATTCACGAGTCAGCAAGTCAGAGACAACAATCTAGTCACAGCAAAGTTAGTTTTCCTTCTTTAGTCATTGTAAAATAATTGTACATATTTGTTCATCCCTACCAACACAATTTTTCATTCTTCAGTTGCTGTATGAGGATCCAAAACAGGGACAGATCAGATTTATCAAAATGATTTCAAACAGTTTATCCCCTCTCAGCCCTTCGACAAAACTCAGGATAATGTAGAAGGCTAGGTGCTTCGACTCTGCCGATTGCTGTCTGACCAGAAACGGGAAACACCATCCCAGCAGCAGAAATATGTCTTTTGGGACAGTAGTGCAGGGAAGAGGTGAATCTTTTCAACTACAGATGCAGGAAAATGTTGAAATGGTATAGGTCTCACGCCCCTATCAGCCCTTTTAGGTTATTTAACCCTATCCATACGCCCTGGGGTCATTTTGTACCCCCGGGTTTGTATTCTTCACATTTAACAATACTTCTAGTACGAAAATCTCTTTGAAATTTCAGTATTTCTCAAATCTGACAGACAGCTATATAAAGCGTACGGATCGGATTAACGAGTAAATTTCCTCTTTGAAAGTGGTGGCACGGAGTTCTCCACGTCGTATGGATACGAATACGATAGTAAAACACGACGTACGGATAGGGTTAAGAAGCGGGACTCCAGAGTTTAAAGTCCATCTCCAAATTGACAGCGCCAAATAGGACATTCATGTAAAGTGCCTTTTCCAAGGACACAACGTCGGACCGAGCTGCGGCTTGAACCCCTGAACCTGCAGTCTCAAGATCACAAGCCCAGTAGTCTAACCACTACGCTAGCCACATCACCAGGTGTACGAGATGGATAGGAAAATAAAGAGAAGGGAAAATGTCTTTTTTATTTTTGGTAAGTGTTTAACGGCGCTCGCAACTGCATTAGGTCATAGGAGCGCGCGGGACACACCAAACATTTTCAGTTGGTAGTAAATTTTGAATTTTGCCTGGGTGGCAGCCGAAGCCTACTCTTATAGATTTTAAACCACTAAGGGATCTTTAACGGGTGCAACGTGCACACGGGACCTCCGAAAGTTCTACCAGAAGATCAGGGGTGTGGCTGAAAGACAGCAGTAAGAAGGAGGCAAGGAGTAGCAGTAGAAAGGCTGCAGAAAGAGTCAGGAGCCCAAAGGAGGGGGCAGAGAGTGGAGCCGAAAGCAGACATAAGAACATTGCCAGAGAGCAGGAAAGGAGACAATTTTAGAGAAGAAAATTTTTCCCGTCGCTACCCGGATTCAAATCCGGGACCTTTGAATGAGAGGCGAAAACCTTAAACTCTAGGCCACGAGAGCCCCCTGGAAAATGTCACATGGTGCAAAGTGCGTGCAAGAGAGGAACAAGATCACATGTATCCAAAGGCTGAAGTAAGACAAAGAGATAAAAATAGATCTTCTGCACAAACACACCAAAACACATACATGCACAAAACATCCCACATTGCTTTATAGAGTTTACTTTCAAACTGATTAACTGAATTTAAACTATCTGTTGTTGAAGAAAATCTACTGGCTATTTTTTAGGTGTTTTTAAAAATTTTTAATGGTCATTGGAACAGTATGGGAAAATCTTTTTATTAGTAACACTATTTCATTAATAAAATAGTAATAATAGAATATTATGGTAAATCAATCCGCTAGTGGTAACTTTTTTTTGTTAATAGGGTAAGGTAAATCAATCTATAAATAGTAACACTGTTTCGACATTAGAATATGGCAAATAAATCATTGTTAATAGTAATATTATTGTGTTATTAGAGCATGGTTAATCAATGTAGTGACAATTACATGTTTTGTTATTTCAGTTAATATTGAGTTAGACTAATAAGTACTAAATATTAGGGGTTTTGTTTCTACAGAGAAGTGGACAAGTCATGGGAAAGCTACAAGTAAGATTCAAACAACAATTTGTTTAGAAAAGCTATAGCAAGACAGTTAAGGCTAAAGGGGGGGGGGGGGGGGGGTGCATGAGGGTTCGATATAAAAGGGGACCATTTGTAAAATATTTTTTTCATTCCAATTCCTCGTTTATCTGGTAATGGCTTGCTTGGACACAATGCACAACAGAGTGACTCATGTCAATATAAAATTATATATATTTTTTTATAGTAGAGGGTTTTACGGCGCTCGAAATTGCATACGGTCATATGAGCGCCAGATGCATATATAAAATTAGAAAAAGTGCAATCTCATTATATTATACTCTTTCATTGCAAATCATTGCCCATTTTGGACTCTTTTCTTTGAAACTAAATTATTCTCCAAAGTCTCAGACATTATCCACAGACACCAAAAGTAATTACACTAATAAATAGCATCAGTGCCAATGGAAAAAGAGGGAGAAAACTAAAAAGTGCAGGTGAACTCTTTCTTCTGACTACCCGTCCTAGACAATTAGCTGTAGTATAAGCGATCACTTCCCAGCTCTTCCCTCTGTGTTTGTTTCTTTGTCATTAGGACACATTAGGACACTGTCCAAGAAGACATTCAACTGTCTAAGACAACCAACCACACTTGTCCTTGACAATGGGTGGCCATCTTGTTTTAGTTTTAGTAGACGTTTTACAGCTCTCACAACTGCATAAGGTCATATGAGCTCATATGACCATCTTGGACAATTTGGACTGTAATAGGAGACAAATCATACAGTATAACATGGATAGCTTGAATTTGTCGTCACCGGCCTCGGTAGTTCGAGGGATCCGAAGTTTGTCGAGGGATATCTCACAAAGATAAAGAAGAAGAAAAAAACGGGACCGCAAGCACAGTTCTACGGATGCGTGATTTTGAGTCTTATGTGTTCCTCCACCTATCCATGTTATACCGTATTGCAAAAAATGTCCCAAGAAACGCGACTTGGCAGGCCAGGTTAGTTCAGTGGAAAAGTCAAGAGGTACAACGATACATCATTCAGATGGGAGGAAGCAAACCAAAAAAGTAAAAGATCGAACCTGTCCTTTCTCAGTCTCACACACAAGGACGGACGGCCGAAAAGGCAAACAAACGAAAGCACTGCGCGGACGCACAGGTGGACAAACGAGGATGCACGCGTGCGCACGTGCGCATCGACTGTTTCATGTAAGCAAGACTCCGCCATCAGCCATTTTAACTCTTTATCTCCGAGGGGGGTAAACCTACTATGCCGGGGCACTTTTTTGGTGCTTAAGTCAAAAGTGATAAAAACATCATAAAATGGGTCATTAAATCGAAACTAGCAAACCCATTTTGATAGTTCTTCATCTAATGAATGAACTTCCGGTATAAGAGACTTATTTTCGGCAATTGCCCAAAAAAGGTAATTTGACGTTGAAGTTGTCTTAAAGGAATGTGCCCGAGCCGCAGTCAGAGGCTCACCAGCACAGCTTTTCCGGAGATAAAGAGTTAAAAGATGAAGTATGTCTCGGGTCTTACTTCCACCCAGTAATAGGCGCGCACACGTGCACACACGTGCAACACGCGAGCACACAGTAAAGACGTGCAACACACGCGAGCGCACAGTAAAGACGATGATGAAGAAGAAGATGGTGGTGGCTGCCCTCGGCCAGGTGGTACCTACCTACGTAAAACTTACTTATCTGGGCGATGTTGTCGGCGCTGCCAAACTTGTTCTTGATCAGGTGGGCAAACTCTTTGGGTTTGGACACAATTGTGCTGTAGTTGAGGGATGAGAGAGACAAATGTTTAGACATTTTGTGGAAAAATAGAACTTTAAAAAAAATTAAATGCGAGTGGGGTTTTCCCCCAAATCCACAAAAATTAGATTGTTTTAGTTCAACCCTGCCTGCCTGTCAGGGCCAACCCCGGTTGAGGGGGGTACGTACGACTTCCAAGCAGAGAGATGGAAACAAGTGTTGAAGTTTACCACTTTGCAGTCACTCAGCCAGCAGTACAAAATACCCCATCTGGTCACCCAGCCAGGAGAGTGACTGCAACAGACTTCTTGGGCCAGGAGAGTGACTGCAACTGACTTCTTGGGCCAGGCTCGGAAATGCACCTGGTGACCAGAACGGATCATTTTCACCGGCGCATTATTGTGTCAAGTGACCTCAAAGTGTTAAAGGTGTTACTTGAGAGTAACATACCAACAAAAAGAGGAAGGGAGACAAGGACAAAAGATTGTCGCCACAGAACTGTTTTTTGTTTAAGTAGAGGTTTTACGGCGATCGCAACCGTATAAGGTCATATGAGCGACAGAAGATTAGAGGTGTTACAAGGGAGTAACAAACACAAAAAGAAGGAGGGGAGATAAAGACGATAGATGTTTGATAGGAAAGAAGGAGCAAACCACACCAGAGCACCCGCCAACCACCCACCGCCTTAGAACGAAACTGTCCAGAGTTCCTCTTTACTTTAGTACACTTTGGACAAAATAGTTCTGAGGCGACGAGACGTTTGATAGAAAAGAAGGAAGGAACTACACTAGAGTGCGCCCACCGACCGCTCACTGTGGAAAGTTCCTAAAGGCGTGACACAAATCATCAACAAAGGAGTAAGCCGAGCCTGCAATGCCAGATGGAGAGTGGGGACATTAACAAAGCATGATGGAGGAAGATGGAGAGTGGGGACATTAACAAAGCATGATGGAGGAAGATGGAGAATGGGGACATTAACAAAGCATGATGGAGGAAGATGGAGAGTGGGGACATTAACAAAGCATGATGGAGGAAGATGGAGAGTGGGGACGTTAACAAAGCATGATGGAGGAAGATGGAGAGTGGGGACGTTAACAAAGCATGATGGAGGAAGATGGAGAGTGGGGACATTAACAAAGCATGATGGAGGAAGATGGAGAGTGGGGACATTAACAAAGCATGATGGAGGAAGATGGAGAGTGGGGACATTAACAAAGCATGATGGAGGAAGATGGAGAGTGGGGACATTAACAAAGCATGATGGAGGAAGATGGAGAGTGGGGACATTAACAAAGCATGATGGAGGAAGATGGAGAGTGGGGACATTGACAAAGCATGATGGAGGAAGATGGAGAGTGGGGACATTAACAAAGCATGATGGAGGAAGATGGAGAGTGGGGACATTAACAAAGCATGATGGAGGACGATGGAGAGTGGGGACATTAACAAAGCATGATGGAGGACGATGGAGAGTGGGGACATTAACAAAGCATGATGGAGGAAGATGGAGAGTGGGGACATTAACAAAGCATGATGGAGGAAGATGGAGAGTGGGGACATTAACAAAGCATGATGGAGGACGATGGAGAGTGGGGACATTAACAAAGCATGATGGAGAAATGTTCATCACAGCAACCACAAAGGCAGAGAGAAATGAAAATGCCATAGACAAAAATACCAACTAGGCAATGCAGCTTCACAAACATAATATAGTATGATATAGCGTAAAAGCTTTTGGGGGTGGTGGGTTACAAATATCTCATTGAAAAAATCATGAATAGAGATTCAAAGGCAAAATTCACACATCACAGAAAAAAGCTTATATATATATATATATATATATATATATATATATATATATATATATATATGGAAAGCTTGCACAAAAACCCCCCACAAATCCTCACTCATATAAAGGTGTTCCATCTTTTTGTAAAAATTACATGCATATATATCCCCCAAAAAAGAGGGTTTAAGCGATGTTTACGGCATGAGTAATCCTTGCAGGATGTGTATAGAGAACATCACAACTGCCAGCCATTTGCCTAAACACATGATGAACAAACGACAAAGTTCATGAAAGTGAAAGGCTTCTTGAAACACTGGTGTGAACAACCATAGAGAATAAATATAAGAGAGACGTGACCCAATCAATCAGGACTATTTCACCCACAGATTCCATTACAATTAACTTTTGAAATTCAGAAAAGTTGTCACTAGCAGTTTCCCTTATCAGTAACGCAGTAAAGGAAGAATCTATCATTTTATGTTTTAGTAGAGGTTTTATGGTGCTCGCAACTGCATAAAGCCATATGAGTGCCAAGGGGTGGATGTCAACAGAGAAGTCCTTACAGGGAATCGGGCTTACTCTGCTCACCTCTCTAGATTCAACAGCACAAGGTCTGCTTCAGCTACCAAGTCATCCCAGAAATAGCGGGTCACAAGAGAGTGACAAAACATACAAAAGAAGTAGAGGAAAAATGACGATAGTAAGGATTAGGAAAGAAAAAGCAGCAGTTCTCTGATGCAATAAAATTCAGGCACAGCTATGAGCATGACATTGATGAACCAGCCCATGTAAAATTACAATTCTACTGTGCATATAAACTCGAGATGTTAATGTCCTCCCCTTTGGGAATGCCCTAAAGACACTTCAGTCAGTAGCACCGTCCTTGGGGGTAAATTCAGGGTCTGAAAATCTGTTGGCTGTGTGAGTATTTTGGGCATGTCTATGTCTCATTATGTGCACGCGAGACTGTAAGCGCAAAAGTTGTTTTTTTTTTTTTTCATTTCCACCAGTAGCACTGAGGTTTACAGGCTACACCAAAAGCAGTTGCTATGACAACAAAGTACACACAAGCCTAGTGCCCACTACAACAACAACTACAACAACAACAGCAACAAGACCGGCAGGAACACAACACTAGGCTGGGAGACTGCTGCCACAATCTACACCTCAGACAACAATACCACACGACTTGATGCATGGTGAGCCCACTACAAGGCCCATCTATTCTGTCTGATATATTTTTTTAAAAATATGTCAGACAAAAAGGCATAGTTCATTATCTACAAAATCAATGTGTTGAATTGTAGAACAAAATATGTACTACAGCTATAACACCAAGACTCGATGCATGGTGCACTGACCACAAGACAATGGATCTTGTATACAAACACACAAAAAGTTAGATCATTTAGTATACAGACAACACCTTCTCCATAAAATAAGACATAACAAATTATTTTGCTAGAAAGCTAAAACCAAAGAACACCAGGCAGTTATTTCTGGTCTTGTGGAGATTCCTGGAGAGGAAACAATAATTCCAATCAGGTCAACTGGACACCGGTCAACTCGGCCCTACACCAGCACAAGGTAACAAAAACAAAAACAAAACAAAAAAACTATTGAAGCTGCAATAGCTCATACCACTGAAGGAAATCACAAAAAAGTTGTATAAAAGGCTCAACACAAGAATTTCCAACAAGACATTCACTTAGCCTGTTTTTTGTTTTTTTTATTTGTTTGTGAGAAAAGAAGAGATGCTCATCGGCACAAAAAAGGCTGTTAATTTAGTGTAGCGAAAAATAGAAGACAAGATGGAACGAAACATCGGAAGAAGACAAAAGAAATCTGACCTACCAGTGGCACCTTCCAAACTACCCACACTCAGTATACTGTATGGGCACGTGTTGAAGAACGGTCTTCGGCCAAAACGTACAAAGTTCTTGTGTAGAGCAGGCTTTTCTACAACATGTTTGTGACTGTCCCTGCCCCAGGCACTGCTATCTACATACACACAGACACACACACACACACACACAGAAGCCATACAGCATACACAAGCCTGAAGCTACACACAAAAAGCCATATAACTGGACGCACAGAGAACACCTGCTGACACATGGACAAGACAATCATGGAGGGAGGAGGGAGGGGAAAAAAAGGGGGGGGGGCCCTAGGTGGAGGGGGAAAGGGGGATATTGAATGATTGAATACATGTTCGAGATTGAGGGGGAAGTGGTGGCAAGATCAGAGGTGCTGTGTGTTTTAAATCTGAACACACTACTTAAAACAATTAATTGTATTTCATTTTGAAGCAGAAAATTTTTGTAGTGTACGAGTACAGAGAACCCCATCAACGTGACAACAACTACCACTTAATGCAGGGAAAACAAAGCAAGACAGAAAGACAGGAACAGAAGACAGACAGGAGCAGTAGAAAGAAAGACAGGGACAGTAGAAAGAGAGAAACAGTAGAAAGAGAGACAGGGACAGTAGAAAGACAGGGACAGTAGAAAGAGAGAAACAGTAGAAAGAGAGACAGGGACAGTAGAAAGACAGGGAAAGTAGAAAGAGAGACAGGGACAGTAGAGAGACAGGGACAGTAGAAAGACAGGGAAAGTAGAAAGAGAGACAGGGACAGTAGAAAGACAGGGAAAGTAGAAAGAGAGACAGGGACAGTAGAAAGACAGGGAAAGTAGAAAGAGAGACAGGGACAGTAGAGAGACAGGGACAGTAGAAAGACAGGGAAAGTAGAAAGAGAGACAGGGACAGTAGAAAGACAGGGACAGTAGAAAGAGAGACAGGGACAGTAGAAAGACAGGGACAGTAGAAAGAGAGACAGGGACACTGCCATGCCAAGGCAGAGCGATGTATACACTTTTTATGATTTTGAGTTTCGTGGCGCTGCCATTGAAAATATGGGCATGGCCTTTCAGTTACATCTGTTTGCCATAGTGAAATATCCTATTTGTAGTGCAGGTACGCCATCCTGCCTTAGACACAAGATGCAGAATGAACATAGGCGTCCATTTAAACAAAAATGCAAAAATTAATAATTTTTGCAAATACTTCTGTCTGCCTTGGCACGGCAGAACAGTAGAAAGAGAGATGACTGAAGAAGAAACCTACCAGAGTGGGGACCTCTCTTACTACTTGCCAAAAGACAAAAGTGGAAAAAAAAATCTACATAATATGTATGGGAGGCAGTGGGAGGAGGAGAGATGGCAATAGAAGGTGACAGCCAGGAACTTGACTGGGTAGACAGCTGTCTGATTTGGAAAAAAAAACAAGAAAAAAAACCAACATCCCCAAACAAAACAAAACTAAAACAAAACCACAAACATACACATTTTATTCCTTACGTACAAGAGCTGGTAGGACAAGGACAGGGACATGCCGCAGAGTTAACAGCTAACAATAGACATGTAGGTACTCCTACACCGTACATCTCTCATGGCCGACAATCTTCGTTCTCAAGAAAAACTTCCCTCGGAGGCATGCATGTACATTAAGGGCCACTGCGCCTTAAAGCACTCCTGTACAATTGCGGCCCCGTTTAGGGAATCTTACTTTGACCCCACCACGATTACTTCTGGCTCTAAACGATTACTTTTTGATGCGCGTGCCGATAGGCCTATGGAGAGAGAGCCAAACCTAATGGCAAAACATCAAATTATGGTCAAATTCAGGGGGGCCCCTGAAACCCACCTTGCCTTGTTAAATACAAGAGAAATTTTACCTGTTCATTTTGTAGGCTAGATCTACTGATAAAACATTGATACCGAATACTTAAACCAGTATCGGTATCCAGTAGTCTTTGCTAGTATGATTTAGTGCTAGAACTAACGGGACGGCAATTGTACAGGAGTGCCGCGCCTTAAGGAAAGGCAAAACACTAGTCTCCTTGCAATCAAGATCAAAGGCAACTGCGCCCCCCAACCCCCTGCCCTTTATTTGGTTCCTAATTGAGTCCAATGATGCACTCCATTGTGAGCAGGAACTATGCCAAAAAGAGTGCACTGTCTAGGATGTTCTCCAACAAGTCTATGCAGCAGCTACCACCACACAACACAAGACCGCACCATGACAACCACCACAA